CCACGTAGAAAAGCGGTGTATGCATAGCTATCGACCAATGGTATATTGCGATAAGCTTCCTCCGTTACACTATTCTGGGTAACACGACCATCTCCGGCCGTGAACAGAAACGTGTCGGATTCGTCAAATCTAGAAGAACTAAACTCTTCAGCAATGTAAGCAGGAGGAATTGAGTTTGGAGTGAGCTGGCCAGCACGTCGAAATGCTTCCTCCGGAGAGAAAATGTTTGACATGTCGAGAAAGTTGTAGACCTCCCCTGGGCGCTCCGGGAGTTGGGGCAACGGAGACACCGATGCTGGCCCCAGGACAACAACCATCACGTGATAGATACTGCACAAGAACAAAGATAACCACAAGTAAGACACATATTACCAAGAGTACATAACCAAGAGTGTGCAACTCCTATCTTGAGCTGCGATGGGTACACTACAATCACAGAGTAAATACGCTGCCCTAAGAAAGCCCGATTTAGGCTGGGTTAAAAGGCTAAAAAGTAAAAGCCACTCTAAATTCGAAAAACTGGGTTTCGAACCTGCTTCTCCAGACCATGGTACTATTATACCCGTCCCATCTTTTTTTTAACCTGGCCAAATTTTAACTCCCTGTCATTTGACTTTCGCACGTGGTGTGTACAATAATCTACTGTCTTCATGATTTAGGTACCAGTTCAGGATGGATGAGCTATAGTAATAATTTATGTTTATAAGCAAACCCGGGAGTCGGACGGCGTGAAAGGGCTAATGGCAGGTGCCCGGAAATAAACGTGGTTCAGGCCAGAAACTTAGAATCGCGGCCAGCTGCATTATGCAAACATTCCTAGCACACGGTAGCAAAACTAGAGGTGAAACAGTTATATGAGCCGAGCCAAGCAAAAAGGTGGCTTAGCCATAATTTTTGGAAAATTCTTTTTTCATGCCAAAGTGATGTCTACCTATCCAACTCCCATCAAGGAAATTTTGGTGCCCATCTGAAATGTATATGTGCCATAAATAAGCATACATTGCGCACATGTCACCGCATGCCTGGTATCAATGGAACTAAGATAATAATTATGAAGACCTACTCCAGAAATCATGGGACACCAAGTGGAGACAAAGCTTAGCAGGTGTGGAAGCAATACAAGAAGACAGAGCACTTGTGTTCTGATCAGAAGATCCAAGAAAGAAGCGAAAATAATCGATCTATGCATCTCATGTCATTTCATCACGCAACACGAATTTTCATATCCTTCAATGATTTTATGAGTCTTGGACTATATTTTTTGCTGGGCTGGGAAACGTCGCATCTTACCAAGACAGTCCGTCATCCTCTCTCCAATCACCTACGCCAACACGAATTTATTCTTCCCTGTAGCTCGTAGTGTTGTGCCAGAGATCGAGCTCCATTGGTCCCTTGCACGTAGGTCCAACAGACTGCACATCGCTAAAAGGCGGCACTGATTCTTTGTCCGTCCTGTTCCATGTCATTCTCCTTCCCTGGTGTAGGTAGTGGTAGAAGCACCACGGGACGATATGCTAGCAGGTAGAGTCAATGCATCGCTTCGGCGTGTCGCACTATTGTCCTTGAAATGAGGAAATTTTGGAGGACAGTGCGCCATGTGATGAACATTTGAAGGTACCCGAAACAAAGTGAAACATCGCAGCAAGATCCAACTCACTAGGGAGCTTGCCAGAGTGATGGCCGGACGGCTTGTAGACGTCTCCACATACGTATACCAGCCGCTCTAGACTAGTCGTGGCCATGATGAGAACAACAGCCACTATGAATGAGCGAGTTTTCCTCGTCAACTAGGGTTGGGCGCACACGGAGACAGAGTGTCATCCTGCTCGCCTCCACATTCTCCAGAACGCTCCGTTACGATCTCTGGCAGCGCCGAGAAATCCCCCACAAGAATGAGAGAGGGAACACTGAAGAAGTGTTGCTCAAAAATAAAAGGCCTCTTCCTTCTTCTCCACTTGCAAACTATTTTACTTGAAAGGATGCTCGAAAGTGAATATTTTCGCGACTGCGCTCGAGTTGAATTTTGCCGACTGTGACGTTTTGGTGATTTTCTCGATTTGTTGGCAAAACGCTAAGCCACTTTTTAGCTTGGCGCGGCTCATATACCGAATATTCGAGTACTCGCTCCTTTTTTTTTTGGAAAAATAATCGTACTCGGAATAAATCAGACTACTCGTTCATACCCAGTGCATCAGCAGTAGATATTGATGTGCAAACTGTGTGGTAACATCTGTACACGAGTATAGAGAGCCCAAATGCCGGACCCATCAATCAATATACTCGAGATAATGGCTGCCAATCTGTTCAATGAGGGCTATTTCATGTGAGTTTCAGGGTTTTGGCATGCAATTTGTGGGAGATAAAGAACCCTCAAATACTCGAATATTTGATTCGAGAAAAATCAGAGTACATGCACACGAACTCGGGATCTCATTGCCAACTTTCACCCAGGAAACACATAATTAGGCCGCACCGAAAAAGGGGTTTGTTTCGGGTAACATGGCCAGAAAAATACCGGGCGGTCGGTCGGCTTTCTTTTTTCCTGATAATTTTTACAATTTTTTTATGCAAACCAGACCAGCATGCACATTATGTGCACAGCCCTAAATAGAAAAGGTGTGGTCGATGAAGCAGGCATACATGTAGACTACATACAAACTAGGGGTGTCATCGGGCAGTAGGATACCCGTGCTACCCGTAACTAGAGCGAGTAAGCGGGTAGCAGCTTGCTCCTGAGAACCCAATCGGGTAGGTGGAGTACGGTGTTTTCAAAACGGTGCATATATAATGTATGGCTACGTGCATACTGTACACTTTCTACGTAGCGCAAGTGCACACTCACTGTACAAACTATGCCAAAAATACCCAATAGGGTACCCGTGCTACCCGGATAGAAATACCCGAACTCGTTACCCGACCAAACCCCTACCCGTTGCAGCCCCAATAAACAACAGCTCGATCAGACCGCCGGGAACAGTCAAACTGGTCATACTCAGGCACCGAGCGGAGCAGAGCTTCGAGACGTTGCGCATCAACACATCATTCAGCGATCGTCACGGGCCAGTAACTACAGCTTCCTGTTGCTCCAACGAAAAAAAAAAAAAAAAAAAAAAAAAGAATCGTCGGCCCAACTCCAAATGAAGTCCAACATTATCGCTCTTGTCAGCACCGTTGCGGCTTGACCCGGTTTCGGAAGCCAACACTGCTTTGAAGCGAGTGGCACCTTCTGTATGAAGAGTTTCCAAAAAATTTCGCAGGGTATGTGACTCGAACAATGCAGCTGTTGACGCTGGTCCAGCTGCCGTCAACTATAGTGACGGAACATTTGTCCACTAGAGTTTCTAAACTAAAACATGTGATTGTCAAGTGTCGAAAACGTTATGCTTGGCAAATAGAACCACCCTGCAACAAGTCCGACTCGATCGAGTCAACTCGCAACAAAGGCCTGAAATATCTAGCCGGCCAGAGCCAGGAGCAGGAAGAAGAGGCCTGACACAAGGTGAAGTGCGAGCACGTACATGCACATGTACATGCGTAGATCTATGATCGCATCTGCATGAATGCATACAAGAAAAAAGAAAGAATTGGTCGGCTCTCAAAACATGGGTCGGTTGGGTTACCCGAAACAAAGGACTTTTCGGTGCGGCCTTAGCATCTAATCATTGACTCTCATCAAAGCGCAAGTAGCCTACTGACTTATATAGACAACATACAGGAGAGTGAGGTGTCTAAGATCCGCTAAGATCAACAGGCTGAGTATAGTCCAGTAATACAATTCACAAACAGCAACAGTGCAACCAGGTCCTTCCTTGCCGTCACTCGGAGTTTCGTGTCTGAAAACACTCATCAGTCAAGTTGTAAGTAAACAATATACTACCTCCGACAAGCGAAACTTGGCGCGTTTTTTGATTTTTTGTGTTGGTACCACAACTTCACAAGGCTGTCAGGTACGACTTACTTGTAGTAGCTCCATGCAACCGGGTGCAGGAAGCCAAGCGACGAGCTGGTGAGTGGCACATGGCTCGACTAGTTAGAGGCAGGCCACTCTCTTGTGTACAAGCACAACAGTACGCGTGTCCATTCTACGAAGGAAAATCGTCGTGCTTTCGCGTTTCAATGCAAAACCAAGGAGTTCCCTCTCTCTCCACTTGAGCACTCAGCCCGCACAGAGTCGTATGGAAGTCCATGCCAAACAATCCTAGCGTCTTTCAATGGCCTGCAGAGCGATGCGTCTCTGGTGGCTAAGGAAAATCGCCAGGAATTGCTACCTGCAATTTTGGACAGTTGGCGAGAATACCAAGCAAAAAGGTTGGAGTCCAGGCGCATGTGGAGGTGTTGCACAGTTCTTACCACGTCAACCTGGATAGTGGCGGTGGAAATGACGACCCTCGACACCGTGGCTCAAGCACAGCTCACAGGAGCTACATCGAGATTTCCAGAGCGATAACAACAGAGGTACTTGCTGCAACTGAATCCGCTCTAGTCGCACTTTTGCCTCAAAATAGGGACAATTCCTCTCCAGAAGAAACTGCAATCTTTGAATCAGAAGAGAGTTATTCAGCCTAACTGATGTCTCAAATGTCCTTGTTGAGCAATACAAAGTTGTATTTTGGTGAGTCAATCATTTAGTGTTGATTGTAAAGTGTGGACATGTGAGTGATTTCGAGTAATTTGAAGTGAAAAACGCGCCAAGTTTCGCTTGTCGGAGGTAGTACAAGTCATGTAGTTTAAGTGAAACAGTACCTGATTGTTCCTGAGGACAGCTCCACCTCATCGAGTGGCCATGCCAGTGAACTTGATGTTGCTGGGATGGTTGTAACATTAGGCGGTGGACCAGTAGGGGGCTGGGTCTGAGCTGCTTCCGTACCAACCACTATCACAGCATGCAAGCCAAGACAACGGAACAGAAAAGTAAGTTCAAAGCGCACACTAGGTAAAAAACAAAACAATAATTATCATTAATACATGTACCAACAGCAACAGCAATAGTAACAGCAACAGCAAACTTGAACCATATTACATATCCATCACACAGATGGGCAGTTCTCACCCTTTTAGGCAAGGTCTTCTTCTGTCTTGTCAGATTTTTAAACGGCATTTGGCTAGTTCGCCCTATTTCTAGTCTTATAGGGTTCCGAAGTATCGACGTCACACATACCTGGCAATGCCGCATGAGAACGGAAACTCTGGGTACAAACAAATCCTAGAATCCCTTTGCTCAGCAGTGTTCTTGCAGGGAATCGATCTATTTTCGACTTCCCCAAAGTGCCATACTACTCTTCACTTCAAACACAGTCCTTCTAGCACCAACCAAACAAAGACAGTCGGTCTCTTGCTCTTCAATTTAAAAGGACAATCTAGTACCTGATGAACTCGTTCTTGCCATTGCTTGCAGAGTGAGTTGACTCAACGGACCATAGCCAGCACTTGTTCTCCCGCGAACTGTCACGTTATAATCAGTTCCAGGGTTGACAGAATCGACAAGAAACTCTGTCCCTGCTCCTGTTGTCTGCGGCCTATAATCGAAACGCATGGGGCCTTTACCTCTAGACAACCCTTCCAAAACAACCTGATAGGAGAAACCCAGCAGCCAACAACAAACACGCATCCGCATGCGCACACGCGCGCACGCGCGCGCGCACACACACACACATGTGAACACACGTACACACATAAGCACACACACACAATCCCATTGCTGAACACAGAATTCCACCATTGAAATGCAACAGTGCCGCATAATTACCACTGTAGCAACACTTAGACACGTCAGATCAATCCAAAACTTTCAGACAGAGAGCATTAGGTGTGTTTGATCATTTTTGAACCAAAAACTGAAAATCGATTTTTTGGCCTGTGGTCATATTCCCTTCTCCCTTCCTTGCCGTGGTTGGCTAACACCCTCTCTCTTTGTATTGGCCGGTGTTCTCACTGTGCTATGAGATGCTGTAATAGATGAATAAATAAATAATAAATAAACGTGCTCTGGCTCATATGTTGATTTTCAATGTACGCGATGACATGCGATTGCTGGCTATGTTTCTTGCCAATTCTAGAACGTTCTTTTGGCTTTATAGTTCATGCTTGCCTCCCTTCCTTATCATTGCCCTCAGCATGATGCCCGATGGGCGAAATATTGGCAGTAATTTATTATTATTCTTGTCATGTAGCTGAGAGCCTGTTCGGGGATGGTGAGTGGAAAGAAAACACTGCAGTGGACTCGGAGTTGGAGAGTTTTAAGAAAACACATACCTGGTAGCCAAGGATAATGCCATTAGCAACACTGGGGGGTTGCCAAGACACTCGGACGGCCGTAAATCCTTCAGCGTTAGCAACAACAGCCAGAGGTGCAGTGGGAACTACAAAAAGGAGAATAACAACAACAATGGCAAAGCACCATGCACATGAAGAGAAGCTTAACTTGGAACTCTGTGTATACGGAGAATTACATCCTCTCAAATGTTACCTTGAATCGGACTGTGACATTGGTTTCCCTAGGACAACTGTCAATCCAAGAAATTCTTGACAAGAGGAACACTAGCAGCTAAAACTCAATTCCACAGGATGCGCTCAACTCTCAAGCGTTGCAAGCCAGTGAAACCATTTCAGCTTTAGGGGTTACGCTGTCAATCCATCTCCATCCGCCATTTTACTCTCCTTTCTCGTATGAAGCTCAAATGTTTTCGTAGCCATGTGTGCAAGTTTTAGTTTGAATTTGAATGAGTGCAGCCTTGCCAACAGCTGACGTGACCAGAGAAAATCCCAGTCATTGAGGCACACATCACACTCTTACCGCAAATTTCTCATGACCAAAGTTACGAGAATCATAATTCAGTAACCATTCATCCTATTGTTTCGCCGATTGTTCGAGACGACAGCTGCGAGTTTTCTCTTCCACCCACATACTTCAATCTCTCCCAAAAAACCGAGAATCGAACCCTCCATCAGTAAACACAATGGCCCGGCGACCGTAAAGAGTTAATAAAATAGAGAAAATGAAGACCACACGATCTTTGATGTGAGAAACATCTGCTCAGTCTCGGCGAAGATAAAATGTCTCAGTTCGTGGGCCATACGGCGATATTATCCACCCTCCGAAGCCTACAACGGTACAGGCAAGTTCATTAAACATGCGTTGATCACACAGAAGCAACACACAAAGTTCATCAAATGCATTGCTCATACAGAAACAACACACATCAACGACTATTTTAAGCCTTCAAATCTCACCATCTTCGGCCGTCTGGCTGGTCTGCACGGCTGACGTGGATCCAAATCCAGCAAAGGTGGCCGCAGTGATTGTGTACGTGTAGTTGGTATATGGCACTAGGTTCTCTACGGTGATGGAGGTCATATTAGATGTTGTCTCCCTGCTGGTGACCTGATGAAAAAAATAAAAAAAATATAGAGCCCCATTAATACCATAGTAATGAAACATGAGCAGGTAGACACAGTGGGGTGGTCAAAGACCATGATTGAGATACGAGAGGTACCTGGTTCAAGCCCTGCGTGGGAGCTGTTTTTTGAACCATGCTGCTACCCACAGTCAACTGGGAACTTGTCGCCAGGCACAAGGGGTACACGGTTGCAGCTAATGGGGTTTTCGGCATTTGTACCAGTGGTTGGGAGACTTATCCCCTCGCCCCCAACGTTTGGCGCTGCATCTGCTGCTGGGTTTGCACATGGGATGAAGAGGACGAGAGAGCTGTATTCCCCCTACACACTACATTCATTCTGCACAATGCTATCTACATCTGGAACTTACCATGCCATTGCCATCAGAACGCCAGTATGTGATACGGTATCGCTCTATTACGCCGTTCGTGTCTAGAGGGTGGCTCCAGGATACTGTCAAATTTCTCGAACGAGCATCCACGACCACAATGTCTATCGGTGCCTCTGGTACTGGAGAGCAAGGACAAAAGAGTAGCACAAAGACAATTATCTCACATGAATATGCCATATGCCAGCAAGCCTGGGACGGTAGAATATTTTAAGTTTTCACTAGCATATAGTGGTACGATGCTTGGGGTATGTCTCCCCACACGGGCGCTGTTTCAGGGGAATTGAAACCAACCCGCTTTGACTTCAACCCCGCTTCCTAAGGGGAATGCAAACCAACACGGGTTGAAGATTTCAAGACGGGTCCAGCACAATGCATCGTGAAAACACTCCAGACAATCTGAGTGCACGGTGGGTTGTAACTTGAAGCTCTACCCGGGTTGAAAGCTCTAATGTTACCCCAGAACACATCTAGCCGCACTACAAGCATGACACTTACATCCTGTGAGCGTCCTTTCCGTCACTGCTTCGCTGAAGTTACTTGGGCCAACGGCGGTGAAGCCGCGCACTTGAATCTCATACAGTCGGAAAGTGTCCAGATCGCTCAGCACAATGAACAGTTCACTTCCATTGGTTGTGTTCACGCTTCCAAATAGGCTTATGCTTGTCGTGTCATTGTCAACTTGCTGATAGAGTACTTCATAGGTGGTGATAAGACCGTGCTGCTCGTCCGGTGGAATTTCAGACCAGCTGACGCGTACGGACGTGTTTGATAATGCATTCACCAGCAGCATCTGCGGAACACCCGTCGGCACTGAAACACACCACACACAAAACAATGTGTTCTGAAATGTTACTCTCACATCCAGGGTGGTTTTGTGGGAGAAGATCATGCAAAGGCCAATTGGCCTATCCAGTCCACTGCAGTTCGAAGTAACATGAATTCACACAGACCTTGTACAGTATCTTTACAGTGTAAAACAGAGCCATGCAGGAGCAGTGCTGAACAGCTCTGCATACCTACATACATACATACATACATACATACATACATACATACATACATACATACATACATACATACATACATACATACATACCTACATACATACATACATACATACATACATACATACATACATACATACATACATCCATGATGTATACCATGCGTGAGTGAAAATGTAGGTTCGAACTCGCACCAAAGCCAAATTTCTAGGGAGGGAACGGACTGGAATTTTAAGCTCGGTCTTTAGTGCAAAACAATCGGCCTCAAACCGACATGCTTTTGAGGATACAACCTACATTCGAAAGTTCAACAATTCTACTCAGCCCTAGCAAATTCTGCACTTGACTGGCTAGCATAGTAATAGTGGTAGTACCACTACAACAAAACTATGGCGAACATTCAACAACCCTGCTTACCATCTTCAGCTGTGGCAACAGACAAAGGCGGGCTGAAACGACCAAAACCGACGTCATTCTGTGCACGCACGCTGACACTGTATACCTTATTAGGAGTCAAGTCGGTCAGCCAAGCCGTCAGCGTCACATTGACCAGCTCTCCTTGTCCAGTGATATTCATCCGGCGCTCGACAACACTGCCGGTCCGATTCACCAACGAGAACATGATTGTGTAGAGCGTGATTGGGCGGTTGTTGCTGGCTGGAACTGTCCAGTTGACACGCAACCTCCGAGACTCCGGTGCAGCGGCAACAGGTGATAACGGAGCGTTGGGAACCTCTGTATGCGGAAACACAAACCAAAACAAAAACAAGTATAGAAACATCGTAGTCTGGAACGCCACAATGGCACTGATATACAGAGCTCAGACTATGATCAAACAGAAAACGCCTTTCCTCTATTAGAATTCCGTTTCAAACAAAGCCGTTCACTGTCCCAACAGCATGGCTGTGATAGAATCAGGGTACTAGTATCCTTACCGAACACTGTCAACGTGGTATCTCTCGTGGCGCTGAACACATTGGTTGTAGCTCGGCATGTAAACAGGCCATTGTCTAGTCTGGTACTGTTTACCAGTGTGAGGGTACTCGTGGTGACTGGAAGTCCACTAGTCAGTGCTGACACGCTATTCTCTACTTGCACCCTGCCCATCTGCAGTGAGGCGGAAGCATTGGCCAGCATTCCAGTGGCAAGAGTCCAGCTGATGCTAGGAGCAGGATTGGCCGATGCATTGCATACGAACTCAACTTGCCCAGGGAAGGTGATGTTTTGCGGTGGAATAGCACCAATACTCGGTGATACTGAGCCATGCACACAGGTGGAACACCAACAGAAAGCAACAAGGTAATGAGCGAATATGACAACTGGAGAGATAACTAAGCAACCCATATGACTTATGATGAGCATTACGTTGCCCTTTTGACCTCTGCGTCATCTGGGGATCCTTTTGTCCGTGTTGTGCGTGCGGGGTTCGCCTAGGCGTGCGGGGTTTGCCTATGCGTGCGGGGTTCGCCTATGCGTGCGGGGTTCGCCTATGCGCGCAGGGTTCGTCTATGCGTGCGGGGTTCGCCTATGCGTGCGGGGTACGTCTATGCGTGCGGGGTTCGCCTATGCGTGCGGGGTTCGCCTATGCGTGCGGGGTTCGTCTATGCGTGTGGGGTTCGCCTATGCGTGCGCCACTGTGCGCGGACCCAAAAGGTACTTTCCAGTAGTATTTTCTCTCGTTCTCTTTTCAATGGCTTCTTCTGAACTCTCCTTCGTGACACAATAAGGAACTGTAGCTCTGTGTGTGTGTGTGTGTGTGTGTGTGTGTGTGTGTGTGTGTGTGTGTGTGTGTGTGTGTGTGTGTGTATGTGTGTTAGGGAGGGGGGGGGGGAGGGTGGAAGACGTTCCGAAGAACCGTGCCGTCTGGTGCGAGTGATATTTTCACCAAACTGTTGTCCCTGCCCTTTTGGAGGGTATGTGCCCCTTTTGGCACGTGTGTGCTGGGTACGCATGGTCGGTGTGTGGACTGCGCAGGTTGCGCATGCCTGCATATTATTGTACGCACTCTTGTTGTTTGTGGCCTTCTTCTTGAGACTCTCTTTGGAGCAACAACAATAATCTGTTCTCTGAGTGTGGCGTACGTGTGATATGAGATACATGTATCGAGAGTAATCGGAAGGGCTATCGTCGAACCATAAAACCCCCCGACGACAATTGGCGCCCAGATAGTGGCATCGTTCCCCGCGACCCTGAGATCATTTTCGTTTTCGCCGTGGCTTCGAATCTTGCCTTCTCCACGCGTCCTCGCCATGGCTCCGCTTTGCTCCATCTGCTCAACCCTGATGTCGGAGCTCCCACTCAGGTGAGCCTGCTTTGTCTGCCCTGCGTAATGTTTTGTACCTTGTACGTAGTTCTCCTGGTACTAGTCTTCGATTTGGGATTTTCAAAATATTTGTTTCGCTTCGTGGCATTGAAGTCCCGTGTTGTTCTCTTCTGTACAAGTACCTCGTTCGAGCCTCGCTCCTGTTAGTACATGATTGTGGCCCACGTTGTGTGTGCGGTGTTTTGAACCAGTGTACATTGTCGCCCTCCGGCCTCTGGCTGTTCGAGTGGTCGTGTGCACTGTGTTTTCACACCTTCTCTGTTGTCCGTGCTGTCATGGATGCTCATCGTGTTGCTTGGTAGTCAGCATGGCCATGGGTAGCTTTGCTCGTGTTTGCTTACTCGCCCTGTGTCGTGCACTGGTGCACGTCGTTGTGTTGTCGTCGGATTGCTCCGATCCTGTGTCAATCGATTGGTTTGGTAGATGTCCCCATCGATTTACTCGATGTGGTGAGTCTGCTGACACTCGTACTCCGTCGTTTCCAGTTTCAGGTACATGTCCTTTCCTTTTCATTTTACTCGTATCCATGTTTTGTGTCGAGCGTTTTAGTGCTTCGCCTGGTTGTCCCGCTCATGTGGAATGGCTGTCGCCCAGTGGTGTAACATGCTTCTGAGATTCTCGTTGACGGTCCGGGTGGCAATATTTCTGTGAGCGTGTTGTTTGGTCTTTGTGTTTTGGCACGTGGGTCTCTCCATTTCACCTAGGGGGGGGGGGGGGCGTCCGATCATGGTGAGCCACGGTCTGCCTGGTGGGCTGGTGGGATCCGGCGCTTATTTGTATCGGTTCACCTTGCGGGTGTTCGGTTTCCGTGTTTTGCTGGCTGGCCTTTGTGCGTCCCAGTGGGGTTCAGGACGGTGTTTTTTTTGTGTTTCGTGAGCGGATGTGTTTCACGCGTGATTTTCAGGTTAGAGGCCTGTGGTTATTCAGGGTAGCGCCCTGTGGTTTTTCTATGTTAATTTTTGTTTGCGTATTGGTGACCGATTTGTTTGTGTGCTATCGGGTGTCCTCATTGATAGACTGCCCCTGTTTCCGTAGGCGTGTTCAACGTTGCTGTTCTGCCGTTCCTTCTTGTGTTTTTTTTGTCTGAATTTTGGCTCCTGGTATTGCTGAGATGTTTGCGTCAGTCCGTGTTTCTTTCTTTCTGTGTGTGTCTCTGTGAGTTTTCGTAGCCCCATCGGCTGCGGGATGGTTTTCCGGACAACTCCTGTGCTGTCAGATGACTGGTCACCCGGTTCAGCTGCCGCGGTCTTCGCAGTACCGTCGGTTTGCCTTGGCTTCGCACCAGGGCGAGGTGGTTGTTTTCCAGGGGCCCACGCCTGAAAGTATGGCGGTTCCCTCTATGGGTGGGCCCAGTCTGTTTTATTTCCACCCTTTTACTTTGGCTTTTCCCCGGTGTCCGGAGTTACTAATGTATCCTACTGTTTTGGCCCTGCGTATCCGCATGTGTATGTTGTTCACATTTGATTTCTTTTTCTCCTGTCTTTCTTCTCATGTTTTTTCTCTCCCATCCTCAGGAGAGGATGCATTTTTTTCATGTGGCCGTATGTTGTCCCTGCCCTTTTGGAGGGTATGTGCCCCTTTTGGCATGTGTGTGCTGGGTACGCGTGGTCGGTGTGCGGACTGCGCAGGTTGCGCATGCCTGCATATTATTGTACGCACTCTTGTTGTTTGTGGCCTTCTTCTTGAGACCCTCTTTGGAGCAACAACAATAATCTGTTCTCTGAGTGTGGCGTACGTGTGATATGAGATACATGTATCGAGAGTAATCGGAAGGGCCATCGTCGAACCATAAAACCCCCCGACGACAAAACTGCTCAACGAAAATGAGCGCCCAACGTGGGACTCGAATACACTAGCGTGCGATTAAGAGTCTCATGCTCTACCAACTGCTGGCTGGTTGAGTATAGTTGGCCTAGTGAGGCCACAGGCTGTGATGGCGACGGTGACAGCTACAGTCAGCAGCATAATGAGGAAAAGTGGCCTGAAAGTGGCAGCTGCTGAAACTATGAGATTATAAAATACAAGCTTATCAGAGTGAGCATTCATGTCAATTGAGAGAACGTGCATTCATGTCAATTGAGAGAACGTGCATTCATGTCAATTGAGAGAACGTGCATTCATGTCAATTGAGAGAACGTGCATTCATGTCAATTGAGAGAACGTGCATTCATGTCAATTGAGAGAACGTGCATTCATGTCAATTGAGAGAACGTGCATTCATGTCAATTGAGAGAACGTGCATTCATGTCAATTGAGAGAACGTGCATTCATGTCAATTGAGAGAACGTGCATTCATGTCAATTGAGAGAACGTGCATTCATGTCAATTGAGAGAACGTGCATTCATGTCAATTGAGAGAACGTGCATTCATGTCAATTGAGAGAACGTGCATTCATGTCAATTGAGAGAACGTGCATTCATGTCAATTGAGAGAACGTGCATTCATGTCAATTGAGAGAACGTGCATTCATGTCAATTGAGAGAACGTGCATTCATGTCAATTGAGAGAACGTGCATTCATGTCAATTGAGAGAACGTGCATTCATGTCAATTGAGAGAACGTGCATTCATGTCAATTGAGAGAACGTGCATTCATGTCAATTGAGAGAACGTGCATTCATGTCAATTGAGAGAACGTGCATTCATGTCAATTGAGAGAACGTGCATTCATGTCAATTGAGAGAACGTGCATTCATGTCAATTGAGAGAACGTGCATTCATGTCAATTGAGAGAACGTGCATTCATGTCAATTGAGAGAACGTGCATTCATGTCAATTGAGAGAACGTGCATTCATGTCAATTGAGAGAACGTGCATTCATGTCAATTGAGAGAACGTGCATTCATGTCAATTGAGAGAACGTGCATTCATGTCAATTGAGAGAACGTGCATTCATGTCAATTGAGAGAACGTGCATTCATGTCAATTGAGAGAACGTGCATTCATGTCAATTGAGAGAACGTGCATTCATGTCAATTGAGAGAACGTGCATTCATGTCAATTGAGAGAACGTGCATTCATGTCAATTGAGAGAACGTGCATTCATGTCAATTGAGAGAACGTGCATTCATGTCAATTGAGAGAACGTGCATTCATGTCAATTGAGAGAACGTGCATTCATGTCAATTGAGAGAACGTGCATTCATGTCAATTGAGAGAACGTGCATTCATGTCAATTGAGAGAACGTGCATTCATGTCAATTGAGAGAACGTGCATTCATGTCAATTGAGAGAACGTGCATTCATGTCAATTGAGAGAACGTGCATTCATGTCAATTGAGAGAACGTGCATTCATGTCAATTGAGAGAACGTGCATTCATGTCAATTGAGAGAACGTGCGTTTGCTGCCAGTATCCATACCTTGCACAAACACACCAGCCGACGCAAAGTGCGTATCAATCACCATGGAGACATTGCCAGTGTAACCCCGTGGGTCATTCCGCACTCGGCATGTGTAGGTGCCGTTGTTGGCAAACGTGACAGCAGGTATGGCCAGTACACTGGAGACCAGCGGTGGAGTGGTAGCAGGATCGGATATACTGATATTACTATGTTCCTCAGGCAGAACAACGCCATCAAGCAGCCAGGATATTTCCACCAGCGGAAAGCCGAATGCCGAGCATGTCAGTGTGAGATCGTCCGTCTCATTCAGGACAGCAGCCAGGGGTAAGTCCTCAAACACCGGTGAGACTGCAAAAGACAGCACAGCAAAGCAGCATAACAGTACCATTACCGATCATGTCATGGACATTATAACACATTCAACTATGGCACTAGAGGTGTGTGTGTGGGGGGGGGGGGGGGCACAACAGCTAGCTATTGATCTTGTGTAAGTGTACGCACTGCTTTTCGAGTACATGGTGTGTCCACACATTATAACACATTGAATGCCCCCTTGAGCCCTACCCTACACAGCTGGAGCCGTGGTAAATCCTGCTGTGACAATTAGACTTCAGTTACTTCCCAAACATACCGTAAACAGTCACATTTCCAACAAGCTTGCGACCAGATGTTCCACCCTGTCCATCTGTAACGTGTTGATTGTCGGCTTCACATTCATATCGACCTCCGTCGGCATACGTAGATAGCGATAGTGTGACTTGTTGCCAGCTCTGTGAGAACATTGTACGGCTGTTGTTAGTGAGAAGTTGCCCATTGTGCCACCAGGTCACATTGGACAGCGGAAAGCTATCGACTGTGCAGTCGATGGTAAACGTCCCGTTCTCAATAATGCTAATCTGCTGCAGTGTCGATGTTACGGTTGGTACAGCTACACGGAGGGAGTGAAGCCAAGAGAACGCATCAAACAAGCAGGTTACTACAAAGAGGTGTGAATAGATACAGCCATCCAGTCAGGTAACCATTCCGTCAATCACTCAAGTTACCCAGTGAGTGCCCAAGAACATGGAACTGATAGTAACAACAGCGCAGCAGAAGTGTGGCATCCTGGCACTCGTGTGAGGCGGATGGGTATTCAAGCGTAAATACATTCAGTGACAGACACGGGCAGACTGATCAGCAGGAAGGAAAGAAGACAGGCAAGCAGACACAGACATACAAAATACCCCGTGGACATGTACACCCATGTGGTTTGATAACAGCAGAACGACAGGAGTCACTAGATGTACATACTTCTATTGCACTTACAATTGCCCGCAGATGAGGCCAGTCCAGACGCATGTGAGTCAATGGATAGACAACTATTTCTATTTCGAGTGAACATCATCAAATGTCGCCAGATTATCTGTACTTACTATACACGAGCAGAGTAACAGTGGAATTGGCTGAGGGATTGTGGATATTAGTCGCAACACATGTGTAACTGCCTTGATCGCGATCGTTGCGAATACCGCTCAGTTGTAACGTGCTGACTCGCGGTGGATCGTTGCCTGGGGTTGTTGTTATAGTGCGCGTTGCATCATTCACAATCAGAACGCTCCCGAAGAACCAGGCGATGTCGGGTAGTGGATCAGACAGACCAGTACAGCTGAAAGTCACAGTGGAATCTTCAGTGCTGATGATATCCGTGGGAGGAACTGATATAACAGGTGGTCCTGGAATGGAAAAATTTCAACAAGGAGACCGTCTCTAGTTCTATTTCGCCATGCCCCTTATGCCCGTTGTGTTCTATTTTGTTCAGCAAAGCTTACAAGAGACACTAGTATATCATGCAATAATACCAGCATCATAACAAAACTCCTTGTGCTGTCTATTTGAAAAGTGCTGGGACCGGGTCAAGTGTCAAGTGGAGTAACCTTGCTCCAGATATATAAATCATGTTGTCATACACCGTACCAGCAGTGAGATTGTAACTCATGAAGAGCCCATCAGCCACCAACACAATAGTTTTCAGTGTACGAGAGTTCAGGAGACAGTAGCACAAACCCAGCACAGATATTATGTAGAAGAGCAATATGCTTGACAAGTAGAGGCTGTGCGGTCACACATATCTTACCCTGGTGTTCGATGACAAAGTCCAGCGGAACAAGTCCTGCAGCATTGGACAAGCCTACCCTGTACACACCTTCGTCTCTCACATTTAGTGACGTGAAGCGCAGGCGTGTACGGTTACTGTCTATCAAGACTCTTGCAAGTGTTCCATTCAGCTCCGTGAACGTGCCATCCGTCATCTGTCCAAAGAACAATTCAAGCAGCAACTCTTGGTCAGATATTAGAGAAACTTACCTGAAGACAAAAAAAATACAGTTCAACTTGTCTACTCATTCCGTTCAAACATTTACCCGGGACCTGGCCTTGAGCAGTTAGCGAGGTCACACATCATTATTCTTGAGCACATGATTTAGGATGGGCATGTAGGGTACTCTACTTTCAGAAATTTTTGGTGCTCAATATTTTCAGTATGAGGGCAAAAGGTCAGGTAAGGTGAACAGAAAGTTTAGGTACAGAGAAGCAGTTCCCTATTGGATTATGTGTGTTAGTGTTTATTCGGTGTATTGAAATGTTAGGTATGGAACAGATGCACCGAAAGTACCGAAAATAAAAGTACATCGAAAATCTGTGAAATTACAGTACTTGGTCATACCTTGGCATCCTCACAGAATTGTGCAGACGTACAGTATAAGCCCTGGTCTACCGTCTCGTTGTGCGCAAAAGAGCCAAACATGGTGAATCTGTGGCAGTGACTTTTCACAGGACCTTCACAGGACCCAGACAAGACTCAAGCCCAGATCAATTGCAAATCCTAGGTTTCCCACACATCAGCCAGTGACTAACTAAACCTCCTTCTTGTACGAGTGATGCGATCCAACTTCTTCGGACGGTGTGTGGAAGAGGCACATTACACTACTGTTCATTGAAAAAACACTCATGCTGGTTTCACAGCTTGCCATGTGATAACATTTGTGTGTAGAAAGTGTACACAGCATACTATGGACAGTGGAACAAACATGGCTGACATCATGTGACCAATTGATGCTGGGTTTGATTGGAGTTGGAAGCAACATTCTGCTAACAGAATACATGTACACACTAGCATTGCAAAGCATCATGACTGCATTGTACTGGCTTCAAAACAGATCAAGGAGCACAGCCCTTACCTGATAAGACCAAACAATGTCATCGGCCGCAACAGCCGGGTCACCTCTGTCTGTGATATTCAGCGATATATTGAGCTCCATTTGCTCCACGCCAATGTACGTTGAGTTGAAGGTTGGGCTGACCAAATGAAACGATGGAAGCACTATGGGTGGTAGTACAGGTGGCAGCAAAGACAAAGGACAAACAACTCTCTGATTTGCACAGGAAAGAGCAAGATCGATTATACTGTAGCGAAAATACTTCGTCTCTACGGTGAAAATGAAAAGAACCTAAGGACTGAGAACTTGATACATATGAAGTATGTTCTTGTTTCCATTGGAATTACCTTGCACGTCAAAGAACACTATACTGGATGCAGATCCTGCAGCGTTGAGCGCAGAACAATTGTACGTGTTCTCATTCGTCCTGATAGCACTGTTGAAGGTCAGCACTGCATCGTAGACATAGTCATATCCAGTGCGTTGTACCAATACAGGCTCTGTGATCAAGACATTACCGCCAGTCGAGAGTGCACTACCGCCGGTGCTCCATTTAACCGTCGGAGGGGGGACAGCGCGGTACGAACAACGGAGGGTAGCTGCGTCCGACTGATTAGCCACAACCGTGCCATCAGCAATACTGCCATAGAACTGAGGTGGAACTGCAATCACAACATGACCAGTAAGCAGAATGCATCAGCGGAGAACGATGTGACGAAGATAAACAGGCAGGCCTTAAAGGAACCACCTCACAAAAACATAGAAATGCGTAAATAGCTATAAACGCACAGCATTTTGCACTAGACAAAAATGAATTTTAGCAAAACACCAGAAGACTGCGAACAGCCAAAATTGCAACACAGCATATCAGATATTGCGAGACGCATAGCACCACTAAGCTGACTGGAAGCAAATTACCTTGGACGCTCAGTGAACGTTCGTCAGACACGTTGCCAACACGGTTCACCGCAGAGCATGTGTATTTGCCGCTCTGCGTGACTTTCAGGTTCTGTAGGCGCAGCACGGACTCATGATGATCTGCTGGCGACGCCAGGTTCTCTATCTCAGCGTCACCACTCAGTAGCTCATTGCCGAAGAGCCATGTGATGTTAGGAGCTGGTACTGCGAATACTTTGCATGTGAAACTGACTGTGCCGTTCTCCTGAGTGGTAGCACTGGTGGAAGAGCTCACGATGACTGGTGGAACTGCATGAAACAACAAGCAAAGATACATTGTACATGCACACCAGCATGCAGATATGTGTGCGTGTGCATGCACACACACGCACGCACGCATGCACGTGCGCGCGCACACACGCACACACACACACACACACACACACACACACACACACACACACAAACACACACATACACAAACAAGTCATGTAAGTATAGACTATAGAAAAACACTATGAAAGGCACTATTTAGGAAGTCACCAAAAAAATCACTAAAAGTCACCAAAAGATCACTAAAAGGCGCTATGGCACTATGAAAGGCACTATGAACATCATTATGAAAGGCTCTATGAACGGCACTATGAACAGCACTATGAACGGCACTATGAAAGGCACTATGAACGGCACTATGAACGGCACTATGAACGGCACTATGAACGGCACTATGAACGGCACTATGAAAGGCACTATGAAAGGCACTATGAAAGGCACTATGAAAGGCACTATGAAAGGCACTATGAAAGGCACTATGAACAGCACTATGAAAGGCACTATGAAAGGCACTATGAAAGGCACTATGAAAGGCACTATGAAAGGCACTATGAAAGGCACTATGAAAAGTGCATTAAAACTCACCGAGGACTGTAAGTTTCACAGTGGAAGAAGCATTGAATGTTTGTCCCAGCTCAGTAATCTCAGCATGGCAGCGATATTGTCCACGGTCGCTGTGTGAAGTGTTCATGATGGACAGGGTGGTTGATGTTGTGCTCAGCCTGGAAACGGTACCTAAACATACAACACGCAAACACGTACATGTACGCCCACACCCACACGGATGTGTGCACATGTGTTCGCACAGGAGAGTACATTGATGTGTGCACATGTGTTCGCACAGGAGAGTACATTGCTAACAACAGCTAGTGGTGTTAAAACCTGCCCGGCCGTAAATGAACACGCTTCAGTGACCACCCCCCCACCCCCACCCCCCCCCCCCTCCCTCTCCCGGTCTCTCTCTCTCTCTTTCTCTCAAGTGTGTGGATTTGAGTAAGCCAACAAAACTCAAACAAGCCTGAACATGTCCCGATTGTCCGTCACGATAAGCAGCAATTGGTCACATGATTGCTGAAGTTTACCACCACATGATGATGATGACAGCGCGGAGGCCATTCTTAGTAATCGGACCCGTCTGTACACGATGTTTCCAAGCAGCACACTCATGTGTTTCCACATGTACACTGTGACTCACTGATGGCAGTACTGACAGCAATGTTACCATCACTGGTATTGGAGAGAGGCTCTCCCTGTGGATCATACCAGGTCACCGCTGGTGCAGGATGCCCTGCAGCTGAGCACTCGATATGCCACTGTGTCGTTTGCAAGACCTCAACCTCAAGCTGATCCACTGGAGCGGATATGTTGGGACGAACTGAAGAATGGCAAAAATCAAGAACACACACATCATCATCAAATAACGTGAAAGAGATAAATGGTGTACTAGCTGTGCTAGTACTTGTTAGCAACAATCCGAACTAGCGCACACACTGCACTGCATTGCTTTGTACTGCGTTCAAGACTGACGTCATGCGCTTTGTTTTGCTGCGTAATCACAAATGGCACCAGCCCATTTTGCGGAAAAGAAAAACAAATCTTGCTTGCCCTGTTGTGCTCTTCCAGACAACGGATCGTGCTTCAGCAGTGTTTCTTTTCCCACCATCCCTCCCTATCCAACTTATTCACACCATCACAATTATCGTACCCACTAATCGGGTCCACTCTCACAACTGGTGTTAACTAGCTATTTGCTGCGGCTCTGCCTTGCGCTATATTACATCCATTTAGCATTGCAGCTCTACGTTGAGCTAACAGCAGCTCTACTTTGAGCTAACAGCAGCTCTACTTTGAGCTAACCGCAGCTCTACTTTGAGCTAACCGCAGCTCTACTTTGAGCTAACAGCAGCTCTACTTTGAGCTAACAGCAGCTCTACTTTGAGCTAACCGCAGCTCTACTTTGAGCTAACAGCAGCTCTACTTTGAGCTAACAGCAGCTCTACCTTGAGCTAACAGCAGCTCTACTTTGAGCTAACAGCAGCTCTACTTTGAGCTAATCGCAGCTCTACTTTGAGCTAACAGCAGCTCTACTTTGAGCTAACAGCAGCTCTACTTTGAGCTAACAGCAGCTCTGCTCTGAGCTAACAGCAGCTCTGCTCTGAGCTAACAGCAGCTCTGCTCTGAGCTAACACCAGCTCTGCTCTGAGCTAACACCAGCTCTACTTTGAGCTTCAAACCAGTTGTTTCGAAACCAGCACTCCTCAATCCAAAGATGCCTCTTTGTTGACTTGTTTGTGTGAGGGATGGGGCTAAGCCTCAGTAAACTCTGTGCAATGCTCAAGACATCCAGCAATAGCGGTCAAGATGACTTTGTTACAACAGCAAGTAGAGTACAATAAGACTGATAGTTTATATTATGCACTTCATGGAATAACATATTTCTCAGGGCATTACTCCCCCCCCCCCCCCCCCCTACACACACACATACACCTCTTGCAGGCGAGACATCACTTATACGTTTGTCTTTACTTGGTCTGAAATGCAAGTTTTGGGTATACGCTTCAGGACTTGCATACAGCTAAAACAATTGTAGATAAGAGTATGGGTATGGGTGTGTAGATACGAGTATGGGTCATGCACCAGACTGCATACAGCACTCAGAGGTCCTACACTACCGTGGGGGGGGGGGGGGGGGAACCAGACCACCACTATACAATATCATAGAAGTCTGAGAGTTACATTGCTAATCAAAGCAGAGCAGCAGCACCAGCACCAACAGCAGCAGCAGCAGCATGGATACTGCAATGCACAGACCAGTGTTCCACTCACCGAAGACCTCTAGCGTCATCGTCGCCGTACCGCTGCCACCGTCATTTGTCACTGTCACCGAGTAAGTGCCAGCATCAGTTCGCTGCACGTCAAACACGGTCAGCGATCGGCGGTCAGTCGCAAAGCTGTACTTTGCACTGCTAGCACTGGCTGCAACGATAGGATTACCATCTGGATCACTCCACACGTATTGTTCAGGTGTTGGTTCAGGGAACACAGGAGCTTGAAGACTAATGTCAAAAGTGGCATTGTCTCCCATCAAGTGCTCCAGTATAGGAGAGGTAACCATGATAGTCGGTCGAACTGTAGACAAACAGCACATAGACAGACATCATTGCAAATACCATGACTATAGACAAACAGCACATAGACAGACATCATTGCAAATACCATGACTATAGACAAACAGCACATAGACAGACATCATTGCAAATACCATGACTATAGACAAACAGCACATAGACAGACATCATTGCAAATACTGTGACATGCAGGCACACTAGCTCACACAACATGGGGTGC